GATTTTGGTACTTTCCTGTAACACTTTGAAACTCAGCGTTTCAGTTTCAGGGACAAAATCAGGCGGTGCCATCAGGTACAAGAATGGTCTATTGAGAGTTTACTGGAATTAAATCCTGCCATATTTACTGATGAAGAGAAGAGTAATGCATTTTTCTAGATAACTCTTTACAGAACTAATGATTGGAGACGATCCAAGTGGAGGCACACCATTTTAAATACAGAGGTATCCAATAGGCAGCTCTATGTAATACAATGAATGGGCAAATGCGCTTATTCGCTTTCTTGTGCAGAGTTAGATGAGAAGATGCCACTCTCACATTTGTTTAGTGGATATGTAGCTATTAGCTTATGTAGTGGTTAGCTATCTTAGCATAAAGACTGAAAGGGGGGGCGGGATAGCTAGCCTGGCTCTGTCCAAAGGCAACAACATCCACCTCCTGTCAACACTTCTAAAGCTCACGTTATCTTGTTTGTTAAATCTGTACAAAAACTTCACAAAAAATCACCAATTTATGAGGGATTATGTGCAGGACTTTTCTTTAGCCTTGACCTGTAATTTCATGGAGCCCCACTAGTTGCCTAATTTCTGACCAACAAGTAATCTGGCACAGAGTTCCCCATAAAACTGCAAATTATCTGTTTTTCTACAGATTAAATTAATTAGATAAAATGTGATCAATACTGAGCGTTAGAGGTGCTGGTATGCAGATTTTGTTACCTTTGGACAGATCTAGGCTAGCTGTTTCCAGTCTTTAAGCTAAACTAAGCCGTCCGGAAGTACATATTTACCACGCAGACTTGTGAGTGGTATTTAATTTTTCACTTAAGTCTCGGCAAGGAAAATGAATGAGCGTATTTCCCGAATCCTTTAAAGGGACAGTCAATTCCAAAAACCAAAAATACATATTTTTTCTTTTACCTGTAGTGTCATTTATCAGTCTAGATTGTTTTGGTGTGAGCTGCAGAGTGTTGAAGATATCGGCTGTAGAGATGTCTGCCTTCTCTCCAATATAATGGAACTAAATGGCACTCAGCTTGTGGTGCTCAAAGAGTCAAAAAAAAAATATGCTTGAAAAACTCAACAGCAATGTCTCTTTCCAGAAATCATGACCAAATTACTCAAGATAATCCACAGACCTTGTTGTGAGCAGTTTCATGCAGGAACTAACAACTATCTTTCTACCAAACTACGCCCACTAAGCTGCATCTTAGCCCCGCTGGCTAGAGCTATGATCTGTTTGAAGATCAATAACAAGGGAAACAAACATGCATATTTAGATTAAAAAAAAAAAAACATCAGTAAGCACCACGTAATGTGTGTTTTTAACCTGGTGGAAGGATTTTTTTAGTCAAAGTTGAAACAACAAAGATATGATGGGTTGAAGTGTGATTTGCAGTGTCCGCCTTATTGACTCCAACAGAACTGACACCAAGATCTGGCTCCTCAAATGCTGTTACTGTCGTCATGACCGTTCCGTCTTTTATATTTTTATGCCCTGCATAAGGAAGCATGCTTTTACTACTAGCTCACCTAGCACTACTGAGCTAGCTAACATTACAACACAGCTGAGGAGGATGCCTTTGATGTTAACATCTCACGCAAGTAGATGCATGCTTTCCTCTGCACGGTTTCTTCTCAGTTGAAAGAAAATAGTTTCTACATGAAACTGCTCACAGCAAAATCTGTGCATTATCTTGAGTAACTGGGTCATTATTTGTTGTTGCTTTGAGCATCTCAAGCCAAGTGCCATCTACTTCCATTATATTTGACAGAGTGCAGACATCTCTACAGCCGATATCTCCAACACTCTGCAACTCACACCAAAAAAGTCTCTAGACTGATAAACAGCACTACACGTAAGAGGAAAAATATGTATTTTCGATTTTGGGGTGAACTGTCCCTTTAAGGCGGTAGCTACAATTATGTCAAGCCTTTTGCTGTAATCTATATTGATTACAGATGTAGTCTCTGCTCCACAGCCAGTGTAGCACCACTTTGATTATTCAGTCAGGCCAGGGGGAAAATGACCTGTTAACTAATACACAGGGCACAGTGAATGTAGTCATTAGGGGATGAAGACAATACAGCAGAAGAGGGGAGAAAGTAACAAGTCCCATTTGATCTGAGCAATTCTCTTTGTCCTCATCAAGGTTTTCATCTTCTATGACCTCAATAGGAACAAACAACAGCAGAAAAACCAAATTATACCAGAAAGACCTGGAGAAAAAGGGGGAGTAATTTTGAAAAGTAATTTGCAATATACTTTGTGACCCAACCCCCACCCTAATACATGAGACTCTCAGGCCTCCTCCTCCTCCACCTCTGAGGGCTTAACTCTACTCCTGGTGTCCCAGATTACACAGCCAATTAGGGTGAAGGCAAAGCCCCTTCTGCTACCAAGCCTGACCAGAGTGTTGTGTGTGTGAGTTTGTGTGTGTGTGTTATGTTACTGTCAGCCTGTTGCAGGACAAGGACATGGAATGACTCAGTGGTCCAAAGGGAAGCCTTCAATGATCTACATTTAAAAAGAGGTGAACACTGATCTGGATGACAAATAAACAGTGTGTGAAGGCTGCATAATTTGATTTCCCAAATACATATTATCCAACATGAATTATGCAATGTGCTGGACCTCCTTCATTTTCATGTGAATTGAATATATTTCAGACTCTATAGAAAGGACAGACCTTCAAAGTTGTTATAGATGTCATTATATTTTATTCATCAGCACCACCAGCTGGCAATTACAAAACTGATTTAAATTCAGAGGCCAATCAGGATAAATATGGTTTGTGTGTAATGACAAGCAGGGAGGTGCTTCTGAGAATGAGCCCCACATGAGCAAAGCAGAGTGAAAATTGTACTCGCCACCTCAGTCTTTCTCTTGTTTTGTTGACCCTGTGGGGTGCTGAGGAATGCATCTGGAAGACACATGCAACACCTGTGTTATGCCACTGAAAAAAGCACATTCACACTCAAAACATTCTGCCACTTTCACACATTCACATCATTCAGGGTTTGTTTGTTTGTTCACATATACTCATGTATACAATTTACATAGTGCACAGTGCAGTAACAAATCATTCAAGTCCATAGGATCATAATATTCCAGCAGAAAAGAGAATGGTGAGTATGTGAACTGGTCCCCTGAGAAGCTATCGAAAGCTTATGTTAGGGGCCATAGTGCATGAACATATTGCATAGATTTTGGACACCTCCCAGCACATCAACCCCTTGCTGGGACCAGCTAACCGCAACACAGGTTGCTGTTGACTGCTCCCAGTGAAGGAGAAGACATGGCGCGCAGACACCGCTCCCAAGAGGGTGGCATTTTCCTTGAGATCTTTGTCGAGTGGTCGCCTACAGTGGCTTGAAGGCGATCAATCTTGTTTTCAAGCTTCGCCATGGATGTGCGGAATTCGGCGGAGATAGGTAGCATGTTTTCTTCCAGCAGGCTTGCTATTGAGGTTAGCGTTAGCTCGCTGCCATCCTCTTTGGGTAGCGTTTGTGAGTCAGCTGGTCCAGGCTTGGCTTGTTTTGCTGGCTTTGGAGGCATATTACGACCCGCAGTCCACCGAAAAGGTTAAAGTCCGTCTGGCAACATAGAGGCCTCTAGTTTCGCAGACCGGGTGAGGCGGAGGCGCAGCGCACCTGCGCTTCGCCAACTGGGTGTGGCCAGGCGGATTTTGCAAGTTTGGCACACCGTGCGCCTGGCGCAGCTACTCCTCTTTCCCCCCTCCGTCCCTCCTACCTGCGCAAGTCGAAAAGAGGGAGGAGAGAAGGCGTGGAGTGGGTTTTACACACATCACACCAATCAAATGAGCCCCTCTCCTCACCCTTAAATGCGCTACGCGAAGGCGTAATGAGAGTTTACATGGCAGAAGAGAGCAGCAGCGTCAGACGGCCAAACTTCTCCCAGGAGGAAACTGATGTTTTGGTCCAGGAGGTCTGCTCATAGTGTCCAAATATACGGAACTGCGAGCAGACCTCCACGGATTTCCATTACGCGTGCCAAACGGTGCCAATCCCCTTTGATCTGACATCAGATGTGACGGGACAGTCGATATAGAGATACATTTATGTGCTGATTGCAGATAGTTGCATTGAATAATGTTTTTTGTGGGTATTTATTGCATCGTTAATGTGCCTGACATTCTGGAAACCTGCCTGTAAGGTTTTGGTGATGTGTGCGCACTGTCCACCGGTCAGCCAAACTTCCTCTACACCAGCTGCGCTCCGCCTGCGCTGACAGTAGACCTGGTTTCAGCTGGCGAGCTTTTAGTGCACCTTCGGCGAAGTCTTTTGGCACAAAACTGTCACTGCGCTGCCACACCCATCTCAGCGCACCTTGGTCTGCCAAACTACCAAACTGAGCGCGCCTCGGGTTGCGCTGCTCGAAACTAGCCCTGCGCGGGGTTCACCACCCTGCGCCGTACCGGGAAACTAGAGGCCAGAAAGTTAACTTAAAAGGTGAATTTTGTTTTAATTTTTTGATTTGATTTATTCACACACACACACACACACACACACACGAATCAACATAAATGTCTTCATACAGGCATGAAGTTAACAGCGTGTGTGAATCAGGTCTCCCAAGAAGCTATTAAAAGCCTTTAGAGGGAGCCTGAGTATTTTCGAAACAAAACAATATACATTACATAGTAAACATAGGTAAAAAACATCATACATACCAACAAACACAGTGACATAAGTTTTCTCGGAGCACATGATTTTAGGACATAACAAAATAGTTAAATATATGAACTTAGTAGTTTGATTTTTAGCATTTTCTTAAATGTGGAGATGGATTTCAACACTTTCAAGCTCTCATCGAGCTCGTTCCAGAGCAGTGGACCCCTGCAAGCAATGGAAAAACTAGTACTTTTAAGTCTTCTCTTCTTCCCAGTGATGAGATGTTTTTTTCCTGGTGTCATAAGCATGGCCAGGACTGCAGACTGGGACAAGCTCAGACAACCGTAAATTTGTTTTGTGGATTATCTGGAACATCATACATGCATTTTGATACACATTTATCTCTGTGAGCCGAAGGGGGGCATTATATTCGGACCAAGACACAGCTCAAATTATCTTTTTTTGAAGACTTTCTAATTTTTTTTAAATAACTGGGAAAGGTATTGCTCCATATGACATTACAGTAGTTGATATACGGTTCAAACTGAGTTTTGTACAGAGAAAGAAGTGCTGATAAAGGAAGGTGATACCTTATTTTGAAAAAAAAGACCAATTAGACCATTTAGATAATTTGGAAATTAAATGTTCTATATGCAGTTTAAAATTTAAGGACTCATCTATGAGCACCCCAAGGAACTTTGTTGAGACTACTCGAGTTAACTCCTTATCATTTATTTTGAGACGTATGTGATCCATATCAGATGGCTTTTTATTGGATGTAAAGACAATGAAATTAGTCTTGCTGATGTTGAGAGATAACTTATTACATTTGAACCAAAATTTTCTGTAATTCAGGGTTGAGTAATTCCTGTAATTCAAATGTATTTGTTTGTGATAAAAATAAATTGGTATCATCAGCAAAAATGACTGTGTAGGATTTTAGAAGAATTTACGAATGAGTAATGGCCCTAAAATTGAACCCTGGGGGACTCCATATTTGATATCCATATTTTGCGATTTTTGGTTATTTATATTTACAAATTGTTGCCTACTAGAAAGGTAGCTTCTAAACCAGCTATGTGCCATTCCTCTAATGCCATAATGGTTCAATTTCCCCAGTAAAATTTCAAAATCAACTGTGTCAAATGCCTTTGAGAGATCTAAAAAGATGCCAGCACCACAATTTCCCTTAACAACTGCATCGTTCATTTTTTCAATGAGATCTAAAATAGCCATGCATATTGAACTCTTTTGCTGAAGCCATACTGAGAACTATATGCAGCTTATCCAAATAATCACTTAGTCTATTATACACAACTCTTTCCAGTACTTTAGATAAAGTTGGTAAAACAGAGAATGGATGGTAATTACTGATATCATTTTTGTCACCAGTTTTGTAAATAGGAATGATTCTGGCAATTTTGGTCATTTTTTTGGTCATTTTTGGCACAACACCATGAAGTAAAGACAAATCAATACAATGAGCAAGCGGTTTTACAGTGAAGTTTTTTATAGCTATCAAGATTTTACTGCATATCCCGGCAGCCCTGCTGTATGTGATTTTTCATGTTTTTGATAATTTCTTTAAGATCTAGCTCATCTGTAGGCCTCATGAAAAAAGAGTTTACATAGTGGCCTGATAGCTAATTCCCATACCTTGGTAGCATGCAAATTAGTCGGGTAGGTTAGTGGGAGTGACACAGCTTGCTCCAACTACATCCTTGTCACAGACAAGGGACAGTCAGTGTGACAAGGGACGGTAGCTGTAGAGTTTCTGGTGTTTATGTGGGTGGTGCTGCTGTATCTGGCGAGGCCTGTCATCTTGGGTTCCATTAAGGACGACCTGCTACCTCCAGTGTGGATGCCAGGATGATCCTCGCTGTTGTTATTAACATCACTCTCTGGGTCGCGGCTGTCACCCTCACCTCGGTTGTTTTTCTGTTCTCCATTGGGTATCAAGGTACTGCGGTTTAAGTGCTTCAACGGCTTGCCAAGAATCCCAAAGCTGATTTGGGGAGGAAAGGAAAGAAAGAAAGCTGGAAAGGTAAGTAAGTAAGCCAGAGAACTCAAGTCATTTCTCTGCAATTTTGGCACAAATACATACATGAAATAAACACAATAACGCTACATACGTAGACATATTAGTCTATGAATTGTTTTATGCTTTCAGTTAATTAAAGATCTGGTTGGATGGTGGACCAGCAAGTGGCTGGTCAAGAAAGTCAAGCATCCTGAACGATAAAAAACACATCTTTCTTTGAAGTCGTTGGACCAAACTTGAAAGAAAATGCCCAAAATAAAACACCAACGGGATCCTCACATGGATGACTCAAGTGAACAACTATTCGCAAACAAGTTAGCTACGAGCGCTTGAGAAGATCATAGTTTATCAGTGGTATGTTTCAGTGAGTTTTGTTTGGAATATTTTCAGGCCTCTCTCAAACCAGAATCTCCCTACTCCCACGCTGCCACAGAGTGGAACTCTGTAGTCACACTCAAAGCTGAATGAAGTACCCCTCATGAAGGTGTAAGGTATAAATACAGCAGCGAGCTTCACAACAAACTCTCTCCAGCAGAATTAGAAACTGTTGTCACTTTTCACCATGGAGAAAAATAAAACTTGTTCTGTTTTATGTTCTTCAAATGTGCTGCTATTGTTGACCTGAATTTTTGAGTATTATCCTTTTGTCAATTTAAAAAGGCTTAAATAAAATAATAATACTTACTCCCAAGCTTTTTAGATGGTAAGATGGTCTTTCTTTTTATTCTTCTGTAAAAATATCTTCTCCTTTTTTTCTGATATTGAAAAGCTTTACAATCAAATGACCACATCTACCATTTTCTACACTATAAAAGGGTTAATTTGATCCTAAATACGATGTGATCTTTAAGTTGCTGCCTGACAATATTAAGTGTCTACCTTAGTTTGAGCAGGTTGTTTTTTTAGCTGCACAGACCCTATATTTGTACAGAGCAGCTTCCATGACGAGCACAACACAACACTGCGCATGCTAAGTAAGTCAGCACTGATGTAGACTCGCTGTTGGAGGGTTTTATAACCAACCTCCACTCCCTGCTAATTGGTTTGGGATGGCACTTAATGTGGTGGACCCTCCACATAAATGTAAGGAGAGAGGGTGCAGGGGGTGGCCCAATGTCTGTGTTATTTATATGGCAGTCATGAAACAGATCCATCATACCCTTGATCAAACCTCCTCAGTATTACTGTATATGTGACATATTCTGTGATGTTTTACACCACCTGACACTGGCCAGCTGCTCGTTGAGCTGCTCCGTCAAGGCCTTGGTGTCACAGTGCTCGGCCTGTGGCGGGCTCTGCCTCCTGGCCCGGCTGCTGGGGAACAGATGGGGTGATCGTTCTTTGGGCGAGGGCAGCAGAGATACCATCAGTGGGGAACGCTGATTAACTATACTGCTGAGGGCCGGACACCTCTGGGACGTTCTGGGGGAGAAAGTCAGATCAAGCAGCAGGGCACAAAAGAATGCATGAATTTATAAATACCATAGGGAAACATGCAAATGTAAAAAAGACATATTTGAAGGAACACAGAGAGCAACAAGTGAGATCAAGCATGAGTGTGTACAAATCTTAAAGCATTTTACTTACTCAACTGGTAGAATAAAAAGAGAACAAACTTAATCTTTTCCTGTTTTACATTAGTTAAACCAAATATTATAATACTAAAGTACAGTAGTTCATTCATGCACAGACAACAGCTGTATAAGCATTTGACTCATATTCCATAGTGTCATAGTAATTATGGTGGAAACTAAAACAAATATCCAGAACTAATTAACCAGGAAAGCTGCCAAACTTCAATATCCAGGTGCAAATACAAAAAAATATACTGTATGGTGTAATGGATTTTTTCTTATTATCTTTTCAAAGTCTGCAAGACAGCTGGAAGCAGTGATGACGCTACTCCGATTCATGTTGTGTATGTCCACCCTCGGGAGGGGAGCAAGCATCGAGCCCAGCTTTTGATTGTTTGGTCTCAACCTGACAGCAGGAAAGAGAACTGGGCCTCTGACAGCTTACACAACTGCCAATCTTGTGTCAGACACAGCAAAGCAACATAAAACAGGCTGTCAGAGAGCGTCCCTCCTATCGGACAAAGCTATGAATCTGTCGACATCAATCATCATATTCCAGTTGGAGGTCTGACATGACATCCGTCAAACAGACAACTCTACTGCCGGAGCTATTAAGTTATTTACTCTTTAAAATGTCAAAGCAGGGTCAGACTAGTTGAACATATTGGTGTTTAGACAATAGAAAATATTAGTTAAAGCATCTATAATCTTTTTTTTTTTACATTAACAATAGATCAAATGATGCTTCTATAAGTTGCCGCTGCTAGAAGTGATGTGCCCACAGAGATCTGACCAATCCAAAGTCCCGCCCCCCTTAGACAAGCTTAGACTAGCTTCCCACTGGAACGCTAGACGGTGTGTATATTTAATAGCACCAATAGTTAGTTACTTTGGGGTGGCACACAGCCATAGGGCCCTGACACACTGAACTGACGGTCACTGGTTGGTCAATGTCCGATTGTCTGTGAGCGTCAGACACCCTAGTTTTTGCTGTGTGTCCCACACTAGTCCCCCGTTTTTCAGCCAAGTCAGCATGTTGAATCTGCGCCAGAGCGGGCGGAGCCCATCTGTGAATTAAATCACCCTGATTGGCAGTTCAGCTCAGTGCACAAGAAGAGAAACAGAAGTGGGGAAAGCAAATGAAGGCTATACTTAGAGATCAAAACAAATTTGTTATATTAAGATTTCTTTAGCTATTGAGGTCTTTGGCAGAAATGGTTTATAATTGTTTGTATTGTTGTTATTGTTGTTCCAGTTTCCTTTTTGTGAATGATGAATACAGATAACCACTGCCTGCTGGAGTTATTTTCTCAAACACAGGCACAAAACCTATGTGCAAGTTGGCCATTGGCTGTAGTCTTTCTGGTCAACTTTTTGGCTGAGACACCGTCACCATTAGTTCTTTGATGTTGTTTTGTTGCGTCTGGGCATTTAGAGATGTAATATAAACAAATGAATGTTAGCCTTGATTTTTTTTCTGGCTTACGATAATTTATGTCATCTTAAAAAATATGTCCGCAAACAACCGAATTGTCCTTTTCCAAATCTCTTTTACCTTACCACAGAAATAAGGAGGAAGGAAACTTAGCTAACGTTGGTGATTCAACATTAGGCTAACTCCTCTTGATGTAGCTTTAGCAGTTAGCTACATTAGGTAACCACATTAGCTAGCTATGTTAGCTAGTGTTTGGCTAACATTATCTTGCTTCACATAAGGCTAACTCCTCTTGATGTAGCTATAGCAGTTAACTACATTAGCTAGCCACATTAGCTAGCTATGTTAGCTAGTGTTTGGCTATTATCTTGCTTCACATGTGATTATACAACGTAATGTGTCCGTGAACATTGTGACGCCAATGTTATGTGTCAAGTATCACTTTTATAGGCCCCTCAGCCACAACTTTAAACCATCTTTAATTTCTTTTTAATATAGATTTGCCTAGCACATAGCATATCTACCTAAGCTGAGTGAGGTTCCAAGCGAGCTCTAATTTTATTGGAGCACAGAGCAAAAAGGGGCGGGACTTAGGACTGTCAGTAACCCTTAGCTCTATGTAGCTTTATAGCTTTGTTTAGCTAATTCTTTTGTTTTTCAGGTCTGTAACTTCACTGTTTTACTTCACCACTCTCATCAGAAATGCTTGTGGCAGCGCAGGCAGCTGTTTATAGCAAAAATGCTCTAACAACCCACCTGTCCTCTGTCCAACCTTTACTGTGCTTCAACATACCTGTGCTTGAATGTGCTATTACTTCCCGTCTCCTTGGGGTCAGCCTCTCCCGTCTTCACTGAACCATTAACGTCGGCGAAGGTCATTCCTGAGGCCCCATCAGACCTTTTCCTCACTGCTGTGTTGAAGGTGTCGGAGTACAAAAGACGCCCCACCTCCTCTTGGATGTCCCTCAGGTCCTTCCTGCCAAACGTCACCCAGGCAGCACAACAGAAAAAGCTGTACAAGCACTAGAAACAGAGGGTGACAGGGAAAAAGTGACAAGTGTCACTGAGAGTTCTTTTTACTCTTTCCTTAATTCAATAGTTAGTAATCTGTTCATTTTGTTCAAGGATTCATTGAATGATTATTCACTTGTTTTATTTCTAATGGCTGCCTATTCTTATGTGTTTTCAAAAGGTCAGCTATGTCTATCCTAAAAAAGGCCACATACAGAGCAGGCAGTGGGCTGCTGCTGCTAGCTTGATATTTCTCTCCCTGTCCACCCACCTGGCTAAATACTGGGGGGAACCTGTCAAAGCAAAGCACCTGTGTTGAGTCAACATCTCCTCCCACTAACTAATTCATTAAGGCCACCAGGCATAACCAGCACTCAATGTCGTTCTGTTCTGCTCACTGCCGTCTGTATTCACAGATGGTGAACTGGCCCTCACTCTGACCAGCTGAAGGCTTCATTTTTTTCGGTGCAGGTGAGGCAATGCAGTTTGGGATGTTTCGACTGGCTGGTTTTGCGAGGGAAAAAAATTTCAGGTCAGTTATGAGTCAGATTTATCTTTTTTTTTTTTTAAATGAGTGGATTGGTTTACTGGATTAATTAGAGCAGCTCGTTTGCAATTAAGGTGATGATTATGTTTGTAATACATTGTAGGAGTCTTATTGCACCTACCGCATGCAGCAGCCATTCTGTACTGTTTGACAACATCAGGCCCCTGTGAAAATATATCAGAACCTGGTTTCTGTTGATGGCAGACATGGTAATTCTAGCACTAGATCAAACATTTTGGATCCAAATGATGATGTTTTTCTAGCAGAGAGCTATATCAAGTCGTGACCAACAACAAGTTAACAAGTCATTAAAAACATCTGAAATAAAGATCCAACTTTAATTAAAAATCTAGTGTGCTTGAGACGTTGTTTGCAGTTTAATTTAATTCAAAAGGTGCACAGTATCTGAGTTCTACATAGTGCATACATACTGTATGTGTATCCAAAGTTAAGGTCCCTGTTTTTCTTACTGTCCATCAACTGTATCAGGACAAGACAGCACTTTCCAGGGAAGTACAAGGCTAAAATTTGATACTAAAATAAGGTTACTTTGGATGATACCTATTTGTGTACAGTGGCATTCAGATGATCACAACACTTCAAAGTATACATACTATAAAGATTTTCCTGAATTCCACAAATGAAACAGATCTGATCAATATAACTCCTGTTCTATCTTTGATTTTCAGCTTGAATGTAACTACACCCGAGTGAAAATATTGCAGAAAGAATACTTCTTGCTCTGACTATCACCCGTTCTAACTCTGAACAAGCACTCACTTGTGATTTGACGATTGTTGTTCCAACTCCAGGTCCATGATGAAGCTGAAGTAGCAAACAGCCAGCTTCTTTTGAGCAATCTCCTTTTTGGCCAAAGTCTCCATCATCATCTTGTGCTCTGAGGTGATGTCTACACTGGCAGGTTGGTGAGAAAGGGAGTGAGACATTGGTGGATAAAAAAAGGGGGAAGAAAAACAGATAGCGACTATGATAAAAAATAACAAAACATTACATTAAAGGTAATAATCACTAGCCTGTACCATTCATGATGGCAATTTATAGTATGATAAACAACAGTATTTCATTCTCAGCATACATACGCCATCAATGACTGCGATGTACTCTCCAGAGACTTCAGTTCGAAGAAATAAGACAGGTAAAGGAGAAGGGCGGCTAAAACTTCATCCAGCTCTTTACTCCTGGACACAGTAAAAGCATTTAGTATCGATGCATGACGGATCTTGTTATGCAGTGTACAACAATGGAAACTGTATGCATGTATGAAACATGTCTTTGTATTGCTTACTTCAATATAGCCAAGAAGCAGAATGGAATGGGAAGCGAGTAATTCTCTTGTAGCAAACTGACAGCGACCCCTGCAACAGAGAGAGCTTTGTCACAGCAGGGTCAAAGGTCATCTGGCACCCACTGGGTATAAAAATATAAATTGTTCCTAAAGTCTAGTTTTTATTTCAGTTGACTAAAATGTTTTTTCACACCTATTTTGGTTTTTATTTCGTTTTAATTAACTGTAACAACCTCAATCCGTTCAGCAATTACCAATGATTCTAGAAGAGACAGAGAGGAGTAACTGACTAAGTCATTATTGTTATGAGTTCAACAACATATTGGCACTTGCGTTTAACATCATCAGTGGTGATGCGGTCCCCTTGACTCTTCATCACCGAGGCCCTATATGCATTCAGATGAGCAGGGCTCAGGCTCTTTCTAATGCTTTGGCGCCCTCTACCGTTCAGAGTGCAGACCTCAGCCAACCTGAGGAAACAGGTCAGTTTGTGAATGTGAGGAGCAAAATGCTGTGTGCAATTACAAAAAGACTGCTGATTGTAGGGCTTCATTTCTCCTGTCTCTCTAGTGATCATAAACACAGTTGCATAAGTGTGTAAGTGTATTTATATTTAAAGACTCCAGAGAGTTGTTTGTTGAGCCAGGCGTACCACTCTGATCGCTGCTGGAGATCATTGAAATTGACATTACTTTGCCTTCTTTTCCTCAAAACGCCCTCCTCTGTTGGACCAGAACTAAAAAACAAAAACAAAGGGGGAATTTTTAGACTGTTTCAAACTTGACAACATAACATTGTAAATGGTTTCCTTTGTATTTCCTGTTGGAATATTTATTAATGCAGTAGCTGACAAGGAAACTACACTGAACTAATTTTATCGTTTCCTTGGTAGCTGACAGGAAGTTAAAGGGAACTACGCCCATTTACAAAATTCATACATGTTACTTCTATGGTCTAAGACTATAGAATATTAAATCCCTATGGTCTGCTGGTCTGGGCCTTCTAAGTGTTCTAGAGTCCAGGTTAAAGATAAAAGGTGATCGAGCCTTTTCAGTTCTTGCTCCTCGGCTTTGTGTATGTATTTGCAGCCATGTGTTTATGTATGCATGCTCACAGGTATGTGTTTAAGTGTATATGTTGGTGTAGGCGTATGTGCACCAATCAGCCAAAACATTAAAACCATTGGTGGGTGAAGTGAATAACATTGATCGTCTTGTTACAGTGCAATGCTCTGCTGGGAAACCTTGGGTCCTGGCATTCATGTGGATGCTACTTGACACGCTCCACCCACCTGAACAACGTTGCAGACAAAATAAACCCCCTCATGGCAAAAAACTGCTCAGGCATGACCTGAGGAACGGGACAAAGAGCTTGAGGCGTCGACCTGGCCTCCAAATACCCCAGATCCCAACCTGATCAAACATTTGAGGGACGTGTTGGTACCCCAGAGGTACCCCCAATCCAGGGTGGGTCCTCCTTGGATCCAGACCTGTCTCTGACCTGTTAAGGCATGGACACAAGACCTCTGGAGGGTGTCCCTTGGTGTCTGGCACCAGGGCGTTAGCTTGACCTCTTTGTCACGTTCCTAGGACCATTCCTGAGCAGTTTTTGTGGTGTGGCATGGTGCACTGAATTGCTGGGGGGCCACAGCTACTGGGGAGTGCCGTTGCCATATTGGGAGGTGCCTTGTCTGCACTGTTGTTTAGGTGGGTGGAGCGTGTCAGGTGGCATCCACACAAACATCAGAACCCAAGGTTTCCCAACAGAACACTGCATTGTAACAAGATGATCAGTGTTGTTCACTTTACCTGTCAGGCTCCAATTCACTGTCTATGGAGCAGCTCCGGACTTTATACTTGATGACATCACAACATCACAAGTTTGAGACTCACTTCTCTGGTTTGTGGCTTTGACAGAACAGTAGCTCATGTTCACAAATACTGACAGAATTTTCCTAGACCATGGAAATAACATAATGAAAGTCTAGGGTTAGGGTAAACGTCCCTATTAAGCCCACCAAATCTGCTTTTCAGACATTTTTAATATATACCGCCCCAATTTAAGTAAGAACATTTGAGTTAAAATGATAGTCTAATCTCTCATTTGAAGTGTTAATAATTCATGTATACCAATTTTTAATGTTTTTAATCTTTAATTTGTCAAAATATGTCAAAAGTCTGGCATGGGCTTAATAGGTACTTAATGTACCCTTTAAGCCCATGGGTGTTCCAAACAAGCCCATTTCATGATTTGCTGACAAATAAATATATATATTTAAAAATCTTAACAATCCAAACCAAACAAAATCTGTAACCTCTTAGCTCTCAATAGCTATTTTCATTTTCTCTCCACTCCTGTCCTCTGGCCTGTAAATGGCATTTGAAATAGGCGTGATCAGCCTTTTTGCTGTGTTGTCAACACAGAAAAAGCTAAACTTACAACATGTCTTCTTTGGAATGTAGCCAAAAAACTACTCATGAACAAAATCTAAATTATAATGAAAATTACTCTTCAATACTTCATCTTTCAATGTGTGTTGTCATTTTGTCTGTATCTCTATCATACATTGTACTGTTGGCATTTAGAACTGGCCAAAATTTCTGGTCCAGCCAGCTGGTTGAAAGTGCAGATGTTTTTATCAAGATTTCTGAATACCTAATGATTAAAAGAAAAACAGTTTCCAGGTTCAATACTAATATTTTAAGGATAATAAATGATGATATAATGATATTTAATTATCTGAATTATGGAGCTGATTGATTAGGTGAGGTCAAAGTTAGGCAGGAAAATGGTTCAAAAGTCAAAAGGGAGAAAATCTCCATTGAAACACAGTCAAGTGGGCTTAATGGGAGCAAGTGGGCTTAAAGGGAACATAAGTGAATTTCTGGTTAAAAGTCAGAATATTTTATTCTACACACATGACATTAAAAAACAACTACATGGGATAAATCTATATATGCTGCACTAACATAACATGAAAAGTATCAATTGATCATGCACTGAAGTAATCAACTATATTCATTTACATCCACCCTAAACGGTGTGATTTTTTTGCTCTTGTCCCCTTTAAGCCCACTTGGTAAAAATGTTAACTAATAAATAAATAAAGATAAATATACACATTTATTATCTATTTAACAGTGTAATAATATATTCTGCATACAAAAATTTAAACTATACATGCTTATCATGCTTTATGTCATTGCAATGAACAATGCTATGCAGCGACTGTATTGATGCAGCTTGTGGGCTATTTGCTAGCATGCTAAGGCATATTTTGACTTCAAAAGAAAATATTTCTAATTAGTAATATTCTAACATATGTTTTATTCAAAGCACTAATCTCTTAAATTTTGATAACAAATGAGTACTTGCCAAAAGCAGGAGTAGAAATATGGAAAAAAAAAATGTTTTCTGAGGGCACCAAAATCACTTTAGTTTTTTTGCAACTTCTTCTGGGAGCAGCAGGCACATGTCACACATGTGCTTTAATAACTCAATATCGACAAATCTGACTGGCTTACAATAAGAGTATAGTTTATGTAACAAGCAGCTTCATTGGAAGAACCATGACACAGCAAAGGTGATGTAGTTTTTTTTTTTTTTTTTACTGAAGTCACAAGTGGGCTTATATGGTACATGGGCTTCATAGGGACGTTTACCCTCGGTGGTGTTCCCCTTCAACAGGGACCAAAGCTGTTTTCCTTTGAATATAACGGCAATTAAACGGCCTGTATCATCGCGTGAGTTCAAGGACGTCTCGTGCAGGTGCAGGATGCTAATTAGCCCCAGCTGCGCTCACCTGACAAACTCCACTGTCCCAGTGTCATCACTCCACACCCACCGGCCTATAGGCGGGACACCCACCTGAAAGGTATGCCTTTAATGTCAACTAGACCTTTATTTGTGTAACTTTAAAATGAATTGTATACACTGCCTTTTGACGTTACTAATAACACAGTTAACATCAGTGAAGTTAAAATTACAGCACAAACACTGGTCATAGGTTAGCTAGTAACGTTAGCTAGTTACTACACAGAACACGTCTTTAACTATGTCTTTAACACTTTTTAAGTACGTATTTATCAACGTGATAACTTACGTTACTCTGCTCCTCGGGATATTTCAGCATTTTTGTGAACAAAACTTTGTGTTGTCACAGGGTTAGCTCGTGCTGCTTCCTCCTCACCGTTAGCTAATGTTTGGCTCTGTGTCCAGGCGACAGCAAACATGGAGGGGGGAGGGAGCTGCCCGCTGACGCTGGATACTTAATGACATTTCCTAATTGTTTATTATCACTTTCCTATATAGAAAGTCACACATTACCTTTGCTTGGGGTCTCAGAAAATCCCAGCTGTAAGAGGGGTCCTGAATAAATGCTCTATAGGTGTGACTTGAAATACTTGTAAAAGTATGCAAATGGTTCTATTAGCATTTATTGTAATGGGTTTTTGTTCATGAAGGGTTCATAAAAAACTGTTTTTTGTCTAAGGATAAAAAAACTTGAGTTCATCTGTTTTAGGACTGAATCTACAATGAAGTATTTAAGACTTTAAACTTTATTTGAAGAGGTATAACAGACTTATAAGTGGTGTTGTCAGGATATTAGAATTTCTATCTTCAATACAATACCTTGAAAAATATTGATATTCAATGGCATTTTCATTATGATGAGGAAAAAGGTGACATTGAGGGTATACCAGTTAAAAGTGATGTTAAATGATAAATGTAAAACGGCTGTAACATGACAACACCATTTCTTTTTTTGGTTAACAGCAGAGAACAGCAGAAGCACTATAATAACACTAACAATAACACAGTGAGAAAGAGCAGCTAGTGCCAGTGTTATGATGCAGAAAGTAACTTTTGAAACGGTTTAAAATATTCAGAATCTGCATATATCGATAAATCAATATTTTTGAAAACACTACTTTTGAGATAAACCTGCAGTTTAGAGCAGGCAGGGGTGACTATGATTTGCTCTGCATTATTAACTTGCCTTTGACTTGTAAAAGGCAAATCATACCCCTACTAGCATATTTTCAAACCAAAAATGCACAGAATTCAATTTATGTTGCATCTAGTATCTGTCTTAATACCCTGAAACTTAGATTGGCAGTACGTATGTGTGATATAGCCTATATAAATATGAAAAACTAACTCTTATGAGCATCATACAATTTCCCTCCTTGCTTTGATGTCTGAATTTTAGAGCTTACACCTGCTTTTCTGATCTCTTTGTTGTAAGTTTTATTATAAAATGTGTAAAAAATCTATTACCAACTGTTAATATTGTCAGTAATACACAACAGCTACTGGTTTTAAAAAGGCCATGGACATCTTGTTACAAAACAAGTTTTATTTTGTCAGGCATAAAAAATGTATCTTACAGTTCTTACAGACTTTATGGAAAATCAAGAGTTTAAAGGGTACATTTTATGTCCATGGACCTTAACTTCCCCCCACATTGCAACTGTATCAAAAATATATCTAAGCATTATGAAAAATGGCTATGACATGATGTGTTTGCAATAAAATAACCAGGATCTGCTTCTCTAAGCTCTCTTAACTTGCAAGTTAGTTTTTAAATGGTCCTCGGAGTGATGAGGTGTACATTTTCAGTCAGGTAGTCCAGCCCCCAGGCTCGTGTTCGGTCTGTCAGGGCATCCAGCGACTGCAGCAGTTCTATATCAAAGCCGTTGCCTGAGGAGAAGAAATGCACCATAAAAAAACCACATTTATCTCAGCCTCTATAGTTTAACAGCTATTCAAGTATCACTCTCTACAGCACCACAGTGTTGTTCATTTTTTGTGGTTAATTTATAGTTTATTATAATGATATATATATATATACAGTACAGGCCAAAAGTTTGGACACACCTTCTCATTCAATGCGTTTTCTTTATTTTCATGACTATTTACATTGTAGATTCTCACTGAAGGCATCAAAACTATGAATGAACACATGTGGAGTTATGTACTTAACAAAAAAGGTGAAATAACTGAAAACATGTTTTATATTCTAGTTTCTTCAAAATAGCCACCCTTTGCTCTGATTACTGCTTTGCACACTCTTGGCATTCTCTCCATGAGCTTCAAGAGGTAGTCACCTGAAATGGTTTCCACTTCACAGGTGTGCCTTATCAGGGTTAATTAGTGGAATTTCTTGCTTTATCAATGGGGTTGGGACCATCAGTTGTGTTGTGCAGAAGTCAGGTTAATACACAGCCGACAACCCTATTGGACAACTGTTAAAATTCATATTATGGCAAGAACCAATCAGCTAACTAAAGAAAAACCAGTGGCCATCATTACTTTAAGAAATGAAGGTCAGTCAGTCCGGAAAATTGCAAAAACTTTTAATGTGTCCCCAAGTGGAGTCGCAAAAACCATCAAGCGCTACAACCAAACTGGCACACATGAGGACCGACCCAGGAAAGGAAGACCAAGAGTCACCTCTGCTTCTGAGGATAAGTTCATCCGAGTCACCAGCCTCAGAAATTGCAAGTTAACAGCAGCTCAGATCAGAGACCAGATGAATGCCACACAGAGTTCTAGCAGCAGACCCATCTCTAGAACAACTGTTAAGAGGAGACTGCGCGAATCAGGCCTTCATGGTCAAATAGCTGCTAGGAAACCACTGCTAAGGAGAGGCAACAAGCAGAAGAGATTTGTTTGGGCCAAGAAACACAAGGAATGGACATTAGACCAGTGGAAATCTGTGCTTTGGTCTGATGAGTCCAAATTTGAGATCTTTGGTTCCAACCGCCGTGTCTTTGTGAGACGCAGAAAAGGTGAACGGATGGATTCCACATGCCTGGTTCCCACTGTGAAGCATGGAGGAGGAGGTGTGATGGTGTGGGGGTGTTTTGCTGGTGACACTGTTGGGGATTTATTCAAAATTGAAGGCACACTGAACCAGCATGGCTACCACAGCATCCTGCAGCGACATGCCATCCCATCCGGTTTGCGTTTAGTTGGACGATCATTTATTTTTCAACAGGACAATGACCCCAAACACACCTCCAGGCTGTGTAAGGGCTATTTGACCAAGAAGGAGAGTGATGGAGTGCTGCGGCAGATGACCTGGCCTCCACAGTCACCGGACCTGAACCCAATCGAGATGGTTTGGGGTGAGCTGGACCGCAGAGTGAAGGCAAAGGGGCCAACAAGTACTAAACACCTCTGGGAACTCCTTCAAGACTGTTGGAAAACCATTTCAGGTGACTACCTCTTGAAGCTCATGGAGAGAATGCCAAGAGTGTGCAAAGCAGTAATCAGAGCAAAGGGTGGCTATTTTGAAGAAACTAGAATATAAAACATGTTTTCAGTTATTTCACCTTTTTTTGTTAAGTACATAACTCCACATGTGTTCATTCATAGTTTTGATGCCTTCAGTGAGAATCTACAATGTAAATAGTCATGAAAATAAAGAAAACGCATTGAATGAGAAGGTGTGTCCAAACTTTTGGCCTGTACTGTGTATATATATATATATATATATATATATATATATATATATGATATCACTGTGAGCAACACTCACCGTACAGGCTCTTCACTTGCTCATCAGGCACAAGAAAGGGAGGACCTGAAAGACAGTCACAAATATCTTATACAAACACTCAGACATTTTAACATGCAAAATTAATCATTATTTTCTTTGGTTTTAAAACCATGGATATGTATTTCTCCCTACAGAATGCCCGATGTTTTAGACACAATATGGACAGTTACCTTTATATAATTCAGGATTGTATAACAACGTGTCCAGAAGATATCTGCAGTCTTTTGCCATCAGAGAAATGATGAGAGCAGCATACCTGTGGTATTATGAAAGAGAAGAATTTAAATTATACATTCAAATAGATAATCCAAGAGGTTTTAATTTCATTTCATGTTTTAAAATAAATTGAATCAGCTATGTTGAGCCTTAAAAAAGAATATCAAATCTCAGTGGAGGGCTCAGTCTCGCCGTACTTTTCTCTGTCTCTTGGGTTGATGGCCACTAGAGATCCCCTGTCCCAAATTGCCCCAAACTGACCCTCAATCGAACTGTGAAATGGGAAAACAGGGTGTGTTAAACATTTACCCAGGCAAGCAATTTCACTCCTTTAAAAAAGGGATAAACACATGAACAGTTCACTAACCTGGAGAAGTTGAACAGGTCACACTGGTATAGAGAGATGTTCCTCTCTGAGCTCTGTGGAACAAAGACAGTGTAGATTTGCAGTTTTGTCTGTGTAAATGCAACATGTTTTTTCCAGCTATTGTTCCTACATGTGGGCCCCATTTACTACTGTCATTTGTCATAGCATACCATAATGTATGATGTACAGTATGATGATGTATCAAGTCTGTGTAGACACTGAGCTAGGATGCTCACCTTTGCAGAGCTGTGATGAGACCCATTCCACCCTTACAGTATTCCTGTTATTTTTTTTTTTTTGCTTTTAAATTTTAAACCAAATTGATTAGTTTAATTGAGCTCCTACCTTGTAAACCTTTGCTCCAGGAATGGTAGGGACAGGCTCCTCACTGTAGGTCATGTTGCTCTCCTCAAAGAATTCCTTTATACCCTTTTCAGATATCTCCACCCCAACCACCGAATGGCCCATGTCTGCCAGCCTGGGGTTCACACAGTGGAAATAATTTAGGAGCACGCTGAGCAAATGTTTCGTTCTAGGATGTTTCTACATTTTTAATAGGAACTGCTGTTTTTTTTTTTTAGCAGAAAGGATAACTGACAATGTAAACACAAAAATGCAGTCTTCCTTAGTGGATATAGGAGGAGCTCCATACCATTTCATATCTACAGCTTTTCCACAGAGAGGGAAGAAGAAGCGAACTCCTGTCCGTCCAGCAAGAACTTTATCTATATGGGCCTCCAGCATCCTGTTAAAAAGAAACAACAATAGTTAGGATTTCATCACCCCTCACTTTATGACTCTATGAAAACCACTCAGCACACGTACAACTATACTGATATCTTTCTTTAACTTTTGTTTTCCCTTATCCCACTGAGGAGGTTAATAAAAAGTGAGGCCTTTACTTGTGTACTTGAGGCTGATGGAAACCAATCCTTTGCTCCTGCCAGCGTTCTTCCCATTCTCCGAGTGCCATGACCCGATCCGCCTGTGGTGCCAGCATGCTGATTATATTTGCCTGACCCCAACTACTGGAGGATAACACGGACAGAGAGAAAGCAAAGAATGGAGAGAAGAGTGTTCATATATGTAGCTGGAGACAGAGGTGAGTACTATGATGCACACAGTCAGTCATTTCTGCACCAAAAATAAGCAATACAGCTGCATGATGAATGCATGTGAGAAAACTGATGGGACAAAACAAGGCTTTAGAAAGCAACAAGCTTATGGGGTTATAAAACCAGGATCCATATTGACCCAAGAGCACCTGACTCTACTGGTAGATGATTACAGAAGAATCAGCTGTAGCCAGAGCACACAGGACAGAGGGCAAAGGTCACGTGCATATACACAGAGTAACAGGTGCCCTCTAATGTGCAAATACACTGCAAAACTGTAATGTTGCAGCTTTTAGCTTGTATAATTAAACGCCAGGACTATCTGATCCAGCTTCTTGTAATACAGCATTTCTGTTAGTCACGTGAGTAATCACACTCTGACGTCAGGGGGAGATTACCAAACGAGTTGCATAACATTACAAGTCTTTTCTAATGTAGATACATTAGTTTACTACTCTGATTTTAACGCTGAAATCAATCAGACATGTCACAATATGATCAGAAGCGATTATATTACACATTACGATGTCACGCGCGTCCACGCTTACCCTGCAGCAGCCTGGCATAAAACCAACCACAGTACTTTTAAAAGACACCCTGAATCCCGCATGTTTGTCAAACGAAGCCAAGAGCGTACCTTTATTGACTGAAGACAACTAATGTTTGATCAGCGACACAGCAGCAGCACTCTTGTACACACAACAGTTTCAATCAAAATCGATAATAATGTGTGTATTTATTGTCCCGAGTGACGTCTGTCAGGCGAAGCGTTTGTCTTCCTGCTCACTGTTTAGAGAAGTTTTCCTTCATTGCTTTCAGCCAGAAAGCCATTTATCGGTTAGGTTTAGGGAAAAAATGATGCTGTGGGTATAAAATGAAAGCTTGGCAGTAAGCTCCGAGGACTCACCTCTCCCGTGTGCTGGCGAAAGTGACAGGATGTTTCACAAAGCATGCCTGACAGGCAAAATTCTGGGATTAAAAGTACCATCGTAACCGGTTGTACTTCTGGTTTGGGAGGAGCCTGATGCTGCTTTCAGGTACATGAGAAATCATTCGATTTAATAACATTACCTGACTTTGAATGCTTCTCCTTTGGCTTAACGACTATGAGCACACTTATAATTTCAACCAGTAAAGAACAAAGCACACCCCACTGCTCTATATAACCTTTAATTGTTTTTGTTTTTTTCTCTGACCGCTGGTCCACAAATGAGGTCCCCACGGGGTTTCAAGCAAATCTATTGCGCTGATTTGATTTCAGACTTTATTGTCCACACAGCTCTGTGGTTATCACTTCACAATGCCAACTACTTGGTTAGTTTGTTCACTACTAGACATCATATTTTTCTTATGGTAATATATTTCTTCATCAGATCCCGTGAATGATCTGTCTATGTGTTACAGTAATGCACACGTTTTGGACTTTTGTCTCTGTGGCAACATCTGGTCCTACATTGCAAATGTTCTACTTCATACTGTGAACTTTTGCACACCCCCTGGTTAATATTTTGCACATTTCTGCATAGACATCTTCTTTTAAAATAACTTTTACATTTCAGACACACATGGTATACATATTTTTTAATATTATTTGTTCATTGGGTTTTTTTTCTATTCTGTATCTATGTTTCTTGACTTTGTAGTTCTTACTTTTATTTTCATTTTCTGCAATTATGTTTATTGTTAATATGCATCAATACACAAAAGCAAATTCCTTTAGCCTAATTTAAAAACATACTTGTCAATAAACCAGATATTGATGAATGCATAATTTGCAATAAGAATAATCTAATCAATGTAATCATCCGTGTATTATGAACATGTTCAAATTAAACTGGACTAAAATACAAAATCCTGAAGCACAGTAACCTTGTTAGAGCTTGACAGTTCACTCTTGACCTTGTGAACTGTAGTTTTATTAAAAAGAAAATCCTAACTCCCAGTCCACTAACCTTGATAGATTTCTTCTGGAACTTTTAACCACACTGCATGGTTTTCCTCAGTCCTCAATTGTTTGCTTAGGAGGTATCATGGCAAGTGCTATATTTGTTGTAGTGCAGAGAAGTGTTGTGCTGTAATTTTAAGTTAAAATAATTAATAGGCTACAGTCAATTGACAGAAAAGCATCGATTTGATAACTGATTAGTCATTCAAGTTTTTAACTTTTTGGGGGGGCAGGGGGCAAAAATGCCAAACATTCAGTGGCTCCAGCAGCTTAAATGTGAATGCCCCAACTTGATGAAATGGTTATTGTAATCTGTAATAACAGCAATAATAATAATTAGAAATATAAATAATTAAATATAAAGTAATAATGATGATGATGCTGATATATGTAGCCCTCATTTGATCTGTCAGGGTTTCATACGATTTTTTTATGATTATTTTTAACATTTCTGACATTTATTCCTTTTCTGTGTAAGCCTGAAGAAAGTACATTGAGCCTGTGACAGCTGTCACTAATTCTCAGAGAGCCTCTGCTGTTGCTCAGTGATTAGTCTTGCTTGCCCAGCCTTCGCCTGCCTCCACACTTGATTCGGTTCAGCGCTGAGCCGGAGCCAGGAGACGGATCCACAGATAAGATATTCTTCCATAGCAAGACAATGTGAAATCAGAGGGCAGGGAAGGAAGGGGGATTACTTTATCCGGCCACTGGGCGGCGCAAGAGTCCCAGAAATGCCGACTTTACTTGGGCACTGAGGCGCTCTGTTACTCTGAGCTCTGTTTCCCGTGATATCACCATGTTGTACCCAATTACACATGCACATGCGTGGTAATTAGGCAGTCACGTAGCATTTGGAAGACACTCGCGACATCAAAACAATATATAAAGTATATAATAAAAATACTGCTGCTAGTGGTGTATTTAAAACAACCTAGCATTGATTCTTCACATAGATTTGTCTCTTTGGACCCTGCAGGTCCTAAATATGTGGAGCGCGTATGTGTTTGTGTTGCCAACATAATGAAGCCTATTACGTAATTGTAGCCTAATTTACTTAATTGTAATTTATTTTCAGTGATAGTGAACATATCCTATTTTCGTCACTATTGGCTTACACACGTAACGTCTTGTGTTGTGAGTCAGCTGCTAAAAAACAAAGTCCTCCCACAAAACCATCACCATAACGGTGGCCCATTATTTACATTGATGAATCTGAAACCACATTTTCCGCAAAGGTGACACGATTTCTATGTTCAGCCACAATCAACAGCAGACTACATTTAAAGGGGCCTTGAGAAATGTGACGCCCCTCCTTGTCGGTTCAATTCCTGTGCGTAATTCGGTGTTTCCAAGCGCTCCAGTTGCGCGGGGTCGCATCCAGATGTGTGTGTTTTTCTTTACGGTGCGACGAAGACGTCGAAGAGCCTCTGAACCAATCACTGCCGCCTGGGGGCGGGTCGTGTGTGGACTGTTGTGGATATGGAAAATGGACAATTTAACACGCACATTCATCATTCATATCCCGACGGGGAGACCTGCGCTCGCACGCTGAATTGATTCGCAAATGCCCGGCCGTGGTGTGAAAAGGAAAATTACCAGAGAGGGGAAGAGCCTGGCTCGCCACCCGGTAAGGGCAAGCTCTCTGTCGTGGAGAAGTCAAGGCGCAGCGGGGATCGTACTGGGTGATTTCTGTTGTCTATGTTTAGAGGCTGTGTTCATTGTAGATGCATCTGAGTAATTGGGGATGGACCGATGTGTCTGCTGAGGGTATAGCTCACATTTTCTGTGTTCAGAGTTAAAACTATTCCTCATTTGGCTCATATGGATCTTATCTTTTGGTCTAAAGGCATGAATCACCATTCCAAGCTCATGCTCACAAAATAAAGCGAAACGCTTAATTGTCTCCTGAAATAAGGGGTTACGATGGTAAAATTAGGAAGGTGTTTATATAAAGTGCATTTTTCCACCTCAAGGCAGCCTTAACTGCCATCAGCTCCTGATGTATTGTTTGCACGGCGCTCAGATGCGCACCTTTGTCACTCACACTGCTCAGATGTTGAGATTGGAATTGGAAGTGTTGGAAGCAGCCCTCGCTATCACACAAAGGAGCAAAACTAGAAGACCTTCTCTTGTACAGTAGCTGTATAATAGTGCCAGAAGGTCACTATATCCTGAAGTCACTGGAAGTGCAACAGGGGCACTTTAATTCACCACTGGATTATCATGAGACTACCAGCCTTTAGCCTATTTGACAGGCGCAGCCTGTTTCAGTAAATCCAGGTGGCTGCTGGAGCAGCAGAGTGATGATGTGCGGTCCATGGTGCTCTGAATGAGAGGTGCATGCTGGATAATAAATGAGAACCCGACATATCGGCGAGTAGAGATCTCGGAAATTTGGAGGACAGGCACGAGGGGGCAGTGGGACACTCCGCCTCATTATTTTTATGGACGCATCCGGACGGTGCGTATGTTTGCGCTCTGTCAGCCGTGTAACTTAATCATATTGGAAGGCTCGTAAATCGAGAGCGGGGTCTTCCCGCGAGGAGGAGAGCTTGGTGTTTAGAGCCTCTACAGCTTGTGTCATCTGCGGACTGAGCTGTAGCAGCGCCGCCAGAGCAGGACGCTCAACAGTTCAGTGCGCAACTGTGGTGTTTGTGCTTAAGGGGGTCTTGAGAGTCTGAACCTCCCAGCTCAGAACCGGATGAACCTGCTGCACCACCTGCAACGGATCTCTTTATTTTTCTGGTAGGCTGACTAGACAGCATGTTGTGATGGTGAAACTGCCGCACGTTAGACAAAGTAGCGTTCAAATACTGTGGCTGTGTTACTGTATGAGGGATGCATTTATGGACCTAAATGATTAACTGTAAGTATAACGTTATTGTAGATAATTGTGCATGATCTGAGTCATTTCTATACCTTAAATTAACTGTTGGAGCTTTAGGAAAATCTTCAGCACACGTTGAGATCTTTTGGCAGATGATACTTCTCCCACTGCTCAGATGGGCTGTGGGTTGCACATTACTCTGCCACATCCAAGAATATTAAATAATGTTGCCACTAGTTCAGCTGTCATACTGTGTCTGAGTGCAAGATCGTGTAAGTAACATCACTTTAATTTTCAAGCTCACTGTAAAGTATTAATATGCTTTGCAGAAATACAAGATGTACTGATGAAGATAGTGAACAGAACACATAGACGGTGACAGTACAAGGCATCTTCCCTTTAAAGTCCTCAGCCAGGCAGCAAAACAAAATCATATTCAATTCTGAAAATATAAATTAAGTGTTTCTTGAGAGCTGTGGGGAATTTTCCATACACATGAAAGCTATTTTGAAACACCTTACATTAAAAAGAAATACACAACAGGGCTGTATCTTCTCAATGCAGTCCAAATAAAGAATGCTTTGTTCTGGCTTCTGTTTGTCTCAGATGCCTCTCTTGCATTCAAGATATATTAGCTACTAGCTCAGGAAAGAGCAGAACACTACCTGCTTTCACATCCTACTAAGTGCTCCATGTATTAATGAATCCCATAGAAACAAACAAGGCTGCAAGAGTTCACTGCAGCAATTAATTACAACTCTCGAGTTATTTATTTTTTATGAAAAAGACAGTGACTTCAGTGATCCCGAATAAAGTGCTGCCATTATCATGGATGCGCAGAAAAGGCTCTCTGGGGAGGCTGGATCCTGATGGCAAGCTGTACATGGATTTCATCTGATTTATGAAATGACTTTATTATAATGGCAACCCCCCCGCCTTAATGGGATTTTGCATTCATGATGGTTCTGTAATACCCTCCCTGGTGATTAAGAGAAGCACAAATCTTTTCTTGTCGAAGCATTGGCCAATACAGACAATATTCATATTCCAGATGTGGTGGGCATTTCCATAACCACAGCATTCATTAGAGGGGTTTGGGAAGATCAGTGTGCAACCTTTGAACGTTATTAACCCTGATGGATCACTGTGCAAAGTGATCATGTATTGGCATGCACTGTTTCACTGTGCCTGTGTACAATATGTAAATTTAGAGAGTAAAAGAATGGCATTAAGGGTATACAAATTATTAGTGTTTATACAATTTGTCTTTTACATAATATGATCAGAGAGAGAAAATTAGTTGAAATCAATTCATTTTCCTCATAAGATCCTTAATCTTTTTAAGCCATATTCTGCAAACACTACTGCTTTGATCTCAGATGTCAGGGACGCTCTACTAATTGAACCCCCGTCTGGAATATGCCCCTTATTCTCTATCCCAGGGTCAGATCATATATCATCCCTGTGTTGTCAAGGTCAGATTGTTTATAGGCCGATCTGATCTAAGTCCTGCGATAGGAATGCCTCCAGGCCGAAGCCGCAGAGATAAGATGAGTTGCAGGTATACGATGCACTGCAAGCAGGACCAGTTAATAAGGCAGATGGATTTCACTACACGCTGTGTGTGTTGTCAGGTGCACAGCCGGGCACCCTGAACGCAGAGCAGTGCACTTGCTGTATCAGTGTCTTTCCCACTCTATATGCTCGGAGCTGTGTGCTAGTGTTGGCTATGATCTTTGTCTGTGTTATACAGCGTGGTCCGCATGTCTTTTGTCCTGGTTTTCTTGGACTGTACACAGTTTTGCCAAATTCAGAGCATGAGCTTGAACCTCCTAATAACTGCTCCTACCCATCTTGTTCATTCTGTTAATTAGCCCTTGTGGCGTTGGAGTGCAGCATATTGTTGAGACATAATTAATCAACCCGGCTTGTAATTATGCTGGGTTTGGAATGTGAGCACGGTTGGGAGGCTGGTTGCGTCGCAGGGCGTTCAGCTTGAGGTAAACATCTTATTAACCGTGTCAGAGTCCCTCAGCCCACGCGGAGCAACTATTTTATTGTGTTTTATTAAGGTGAAAGAGAATGTGCTGTTATCCACATTATGAAAATGGTCTTGTAAAAGAACCAAGTTTATGGCCATTATGGTTCCAAGGTGGTCGATTTAATGGAAAAATACTTCAGTAGCTGCTTGTGGACACAGAGATTCTTTTTTTAATCCAGTAAAAAGCAATTTTCTCAGCAAAGACCCAAAAGCACATATGCGTGTGTGTATGTGCCTGCTTATATATGCATATGGTGTGTGGGAGTGTAAAGAGTACCTCAATTTCAAAGGGCAACCAGTAGGTGAGGACAGAAAATAGAACATGGATCACATCCCAGTTGCAAGCTCTTAATGCAGGTCTGTCAGGAGAGACAGACCCTATATATTTTTTGTTAACCACGGCAGGGTTTTCTTTGGTTTGCCACAGACTGAGTGATACGACTAGAGACGGGCAGACAAACTTCACACACTCAGGGACTCCTGCTGGGTTTGTACGCAGTCAGAAGGAGAATGCAACCATGTTATTATGCTGCCATTCACGCCAATAAAAACACACAGGGCATACACACAAGTTTCTAGCTAGACTGCCCCTGTGGCGACTAAAACGAGGACACAGTGGTTCTCAACATGATGGTCAGGACCTGCCCAAGGGGTCATGAGATGACAAAAAGGTTAGATTAAAAAAAAAGATATCTATATCTGCCACAAAAGTCATTATTTCCCAATATTTGCTTTTTGCTTGTAATGTACTTTTTTTTAATCTTCAGGCTCTCAAAGTTAATATCCATAAGATAACCCATTTTTTTTACGCTATTTATATATGGTTGATTTCATTGTAAGTGTCGGAGTCCACCGTTACCACGCTGGATTCAAGTTGCCCTCACACACACACGAGTGACTCACAGGAAACAATGAAGCATGGGGTGTGTGTTCACTCTGTTTAGATGGAATCAGAGCTATATTAAAGAGTAACTTGGGGTATCTTTCAACCTGGACCCTATTTCCCCATGTTTTTGTGTCTAAGTGACTAATGGAGAAAGCATTGCTTGAAACTCGCGGTGGAACAGGCTGCAATGTAACTTTGATGGGCAATTGTGGACTGTCAATTTAGGTTCACTAAAAGTGCTTGTTTTTTGCCACTGACAGGCTCAGATTATTGTAAGTGTCTGCCAACATTATGGACAGAATAAATACAGAGACCTTTTTATTAAACTTTTTATTAAAGTGTAAGATCCTTTTTGTTTAACCAGGAACCCACCACGCTCTTTCTATATAAACAGTAATTCTATCATCTTCAAATACACTTCATTCAAAGTCTACAGAAACAAAATAAAACTCACAAAAACATCTTGCTTTATCTTTCCACTGTTCCAACAATGACCAATTCTTTTGATTTAAATTAACCCTTAATTCACCCAGTTACATGTGAAAAATATGCTGACTTTATTCACGCTAAAATCAAGTGAAGTCTGGTGTGTTTGGCGATGGAGATTTCAAGGGTGTCTGTGGTTAAACAAGAAGGATCTTACTCTATAACAAAAATCGTCTATCTATATAGGACCCTCTCCACAATGTTGTCAGTGGCTGTTAGTGGACATAAATTGAAGGTGCATAAATGCCCTAAGTAGTTCCACTGCAGCTACTTTTGCTGCTGTCTTGCTCAATACTGGATGGATTTTTTTTTTAAAGCTTTCTCCATTAGTCATTTAGACACAAAGAATGTGAAATAGAGTCCATGCTGAAAAATAATGAAGTTACC